GACCCTGAACTTGGGCAAGCGTAAGAAGTGAAGGCTGGAGAGCAGAGAAGAGGGAGAGAATCCAGACAGGCATTTTAAGATCAGACCCCAGCAGGACTAGACAAATGGATTCAAAAGTACGTCCAACAGAGGAGAGATAGGGGAACGACATGAGGGTGCAGCTCAGGATATACCTGTGGGCCGAGCTGATGGCACTCGGGCACTGCTGGGTGGGCTGAATGGCCACACACCCCAGGGTACAGTCTGGGGGTGGTGGCCCACAAGATGCCCTTTTATCATCTGGAAGAGTGAGAGACAAGGACGACAGCAGCTGAATCTACAGCCCACACAGGAGCCAGTGGCTCTCCCACTCAAGAACAAGAGGGCAGGCGGCTCACACGGGCAGGGGGAGGGGGCACATTTAAGAGCTGCTGGGGGCTGAGCCTCTTGCCCGACACCCATGTGATCATTTGAAACGAAAACTGCTCAAATGAACTGGAAAATGTTTGACTTGTATTTTCTCATATTCCCGAACCTTTCTTTGCACGGTTCAAAAGTTTGCATTGTCTAATTGCTGATTTCCATTTGTGAATGAATCAGCGTAAAATAAAATTAAGTGCCAAATTAATCTCCCCCATCTAGTTTTAGGCATTAATTATCCTCTGAGCCATTTTCCCTGCATTTGCAGCATGTCAAGGCAAGCGGAGATATGGTAACACAGAGTGCAGGTTTTGACTGAGGAATTAAAGCCCAAAAAGTAAAATGTGGTCTTGCTAAGAGCCCTAGTTCACTGTGCAAAAGGGCCTGATTCCAAGCAAAAGAAACACATTTCTCACCTTTTAAGGGTGCACTAACGCTGTCAGACTAAATAAGCTCCTGGGGCAGACACTGGCTACATAGCTTTGTGACATGTTTCCCCAACTGCCCCAGTTGACAAATTAACAATACATCTCCTTTATGTGTAACAGGGTTACTCCTGGTGTGGAATATGCAGGCTTGGTTAAGGTAGAATTTCAGAAATCACGTGTGTAACTCTGGAACTGTATCCATGCAGAGTTTCCAGGTTCTGTTCAAAATCCCCCAAGCTGACAGGTCTGGAGAAAGGTAGAGTCATATATTTGGTGATCTGATTCAAAGTCACTGCACTTGGAGATGTGAGGATAGCCAGGCACTCAGCGGAGGGAGCAGAGCTCCAGGAAAGTCTCGCGAGCACAGGGCACAGAGCCTCTGACTCTCTCCTCTTTGGACTGCGGCATCATGAGGCTCTTTCTAAAAGGACAGAGGTACCCTGAACCCAGGACTGCTGATCAATAAGTAATAAAATGCAACGGAGGCTCCAGGCATTCCAGGAGGAGAGAACTCCACAGGGCCTTGCCCTGGGACAAAATATCAGGCATTGGAAGACGACGGCCGCATACAGGGTGATGAGCTAAGAGCTATTCTTCTAGAGCCCAAGGATGCACAGCCACCCAAGGATGCAGAGCCACCAAGGTCATGGGCCTGAAACCACCAAGCACGCACTGGGTTCTTCACAACAGCGACACCGTGTGGCACAGGTGGGAGGGCTGCTCAACAGCCCCAAGGTGCTAGGTGCTGGCAGCAGAATGGGTTCTAGAATACACCTCTGTGGTTTAGATGAAAATGGGACTGGGCAGGGGCATGGTGGGGGATGGATGATATGCTCTAAAGGGAGAGGGTAAAAATCTTGTCATACTGAGACAGCCGGGTAGTTCCTTACAAAACAGTGTCTTAAGAATGCACTTGCGGCACCCTAAGACAGAACTCAAGTGCACAGCTTATTCAGGAGGTGAAGTTATGTTTACACAGTGAAAGTGCACCTGTTCACCTGTCAGGGATAAAGGGATACACTTTCACACCACCACAACTGGCCCTGATACCTTCCCAGGCACTCAGAACAGCAAGCTGAGACAGGTATTCGGGGGGCAGACCCCCAGGTTTCTCAATTTTCTCTCACCCTGCCAATCACACCTCCTGACTGCTTGCTACAGATCAGCTTGGAGGTCCAGTCAAGCTCTCACCTCTCCCCAGACAGCCCAAGAAGAAAGGAACCTGTCAGCTTCCAAAAAAGGGAAAAAGAAGAAGGGGAAAAAACACAGTCCAAGGAAAAAAGCTCAAATTGCCTCACATCTTTCTGACTGAAGGCACAAGGCAGTGGAGAGACAGTTTTGTGTAGAACATGGGGGGACGCTGGGGAGCAGAACTGGAAGGCCAGGCGTTGCAGGATATCAAGTTCAGGGACGTTTTAATGAGCTTGAGCAGATCTTTGATAGTGCTTGATGCAAAGATGGAAATGGAACCTTTGCACATGTGAGCTTTCAAAGAATCCTATGTTCAGGAAGCATTTTCCCCCTTTGCCACACCTCCTTTTTTGGGGATATTTAAATGAGGTCTCAAGACATCCCTTGAGGGGGTGGGGTAAAGGTTAAAGCAGCCCCCCCAGCTCCAGCCAATCAGAGCTGCTGCTCCCAGCAGGGGGTGATACCAGGGCCTCTCTGAGATGGATGAACAGGGCATGGATTAAAGGGCATAAAATTAAAGACAAGATTAATAAAATCAGATGAAAGAAAACACCGCCAGCCAACCTAGCAGCTCAGATTACATTTTACCACATCAGACAGGGAGGGGGTAATCAGAAAAAATAAGCCCAAATTCTGGAAGAAATTATGAGCTAAATAACTTAACAAAGGGTACCACCCGAGGGACGCTACCAACACACCTTCCCAGGAAAAACTCAAGGCAAGTTCAAGAGGACACATCTATCACCTGAGACAAATTTCACTTGGTAGGGCGCCTGAGAAGCCAAGATCCAGCATCTCGGCCACTTCTCGGTCACAGAAACGTGACCCTGAGCGCAAATGCCAGCTGGTTCCAGGAAGCTCTGCCCATGGCTAGCCTTGGAGCGACTGGGCACAAGAGTTACTGGACAGAGGCTGGCCTATACCCTTTTGTGAATTTCTGCCCCATTAGCTGAGTCCTCTCCCTGCAACTGGGGGCATCTCAAATGGTTCCTAGAATCTGTCCTCCCCCAAGGCACCCAAAGCATCCCACGTTCCACAGGTTCCACTTGCCACTCCCCACACTTCCCCGCCTAGACCCAGGCCATCTCACCGCAGCTCAGCAGGAAAGCAAACTGACTGAATGAATTCACACCAATCCTCCACAGAGTTCTTCCTCAGACAAGCAGGTAAGCATCGCACAGCACTCAGGACGGTTCCCACCCATGCAGGAGGACCCCAGCCTGCCCTGGAACTCACATGAGGCGAGAAGATAGGGCTCCACCTCTGCCATCTCCCAGCCTCTGCTCAGTGCAAAGGACTCACTCACTGCCCGCTGTCTGCCGGCAGCGGCTTCCAACCTCCTGGCAGTGTCCAGCCTATGATGTGGACCCATCCGCAGATAGGATAACACACTGCAACAAAGTCCACAGGATCTGCCTGCATTTAGCTGAGTGAGGTCCTAGAAACCCATCCCTGACTCCATGCAGAGGAAATCCCTTCTACTGAAAGAGGACAGAGGCCCTAGAACTGGAGTTCAGATCCAGGGAGCACAAAGGGGGTTTTTAAGAATCTGTACTCCCTCCTCCCAGTCCTTCTTCCCTCTGTGTTGTTCATCTTGTTTAAGGAGCTGCATGGACTCCATGGCTCACCAGCATCCCAGGTCCCTGGCTCAGGACACTTTTAGGATACCCAGGCCTGCTTCTAGCCTAACCTATAGCAGAGAGGGTCTGGTCTTAACAGGCAAGGGGCAGGAAAGTGAGAGGAGCCATTGTGGGCTGCATCGCTGCAAAGCCAGCTTCCTCCTGCCATGTCAGGAGGATGCTTGCTCACCGACATCCTTCCTTGGCTCAAACAGTCCCAACATTTGCAGAGCAAGGTGGAAGAACACGCTGTGAGAAAAACCTTCAACACAAGAAGGTTATGCATGATATTCCTTTCCCTTTAGTTCCTCACAGAGCTGGCTTAAGGAAAGATGGGCAGTCCATTCTGCAGGAAGACAACCTGAGTGACCGGAAATCAGCTAATCAGAATCTTCTACACATCGGACACTTGCCTGCTCTCTGCTCTTTAGAAATGGGGCCTCTACCAGGAAACAAGCAAAGAGCCACACCCTCACCAACTTGTGCACCTGCCTAACACTAAGTAAGCCTGGGGACAAATACAATCGTTGCCCAATGTACTGTCACCATCACCAGTCTGGGATCCTGCCGGCTCTTCCACAGAGTCTCAACTTCTGCTTAGCAGAATCTCCTTTTCCTTCAACAATCTCGTGCAACCCTACATTTTGGCAGTGTAGACATGAACCTGTCAGCAGTGGCCCAGTGTTGGAAGTGGGAGTTAGTGGAGCAGAGTGGACAGCTACCTGTTCTTTCCATTCCACCTACTTCTTTTCTGCAGAGAACATATTCTTGAACTCTATCAGATATTAAATATCTAGTGAGAAATGGCCCAAAAGGAAACGGGAGAGGGCATTCTCCACCATGGCCCAAGTTCAGCAGTGCTTCCAGGGCAAGTTAAGAGTTAGAACAAAGCTGAGCAAGAGAAGCCCATTCTGTACAGCCACAGAATGGCACAGAACTCTGCTGGCTCCTTCCCTCGGGGCTGGCCACAGCACCATGCTAGGAGGGGAGGTGCATTTGCCCCTGAAGCTTGAGAGCCTCCATATCTCCAGGCAAGCTTCTCCTGGCTTCCTGAGCCCCTGGCAGCTGCCAGAAGTCTTTGGGATTCCAGGTGAGTAGATGCCTTGCAGGTGTACCTCACCCAGGTGACCTGCTCAACCAGAGGGGCATTCAGGAAACCGTTATATTTTCCCAATCGCAGCTCCCTTAGGCTTTTCCCAGTTAAAATGGGAAACTCTGGAGGCCTGAGGCAAGTACCTGGCCCACTCGGTATGTGTGCCAGCCTGCCATCCAGTTCTGCCCCAATGGAGGCTCAGGGAAGGGGAGCAGGGAGGTGAAGCTTCTAACCACCATGGCACGCTGCTGCCAGCCACCAGTGCCTTACCTGCAGATGTAATTCGTCTTGCAGGAGTCCTGCAAATCCAAGCAGTTGGGCTTCTCCCGCTCCTCGTAGGAGCACACAGGCACAATGGTCTGCCGTCTCCGCTCGGTGCAGGCGATGTCTCGGCAGGAGCAGAAGAGCATCCCATAGCTGTGCTTGGCTGGGACCTTGTCAAAGAACTGCCGCAGGGCCTTGTGGCACTTGCGGCGGTTGCACACCTCGTTGGACATGCTGGTGGTGCACGGCGTGATGTACGCAGACCGGTACTTCTTGCAAGTGTCATCGAGGTTGCAGGCCTTGGCTGCGTCCAGGCAGTTGTTCACTTTGGAGATGTGCTCCACTGCAAAGCAGAGAAAACAGGTCTGAGCAGCGAGCTCGGCCCCAGGTTGCTCACAGCAGCTCTGTTGGCCCTAAGCCCCTGCTATTTGCCAGGCCACCCTGGCTGCTCTAGAACGCAGTGAGCTTTGCAGCCAATGGCTTAATGGCTTTGTGACAAGGAGGAAGTGTGCACACTGGGAATCCAGGCGCAATAGAAACCCCATGTAATTCCTCAGGTGCACACGGAGAACTTGTGAGTGAAGCCAGCGAAACTCAGGCACTCGCCTGACTATGTGCGAACAATTCAGCAGGAGAGTAGATTTCTAGGGCCTGGCTGGTAAACCAAAATCAGGATCAAAGATAAAAGCAACAAATTATATACTTGTTCATGGTACAGTATATAAAATGATATGCTAACTGCAAGTATAATTGCCATGCAATCCTCCAGGAATATAATTATGTAATAAATGCATATAGTACATGCTAATTACTATATGATTACAGAGTAATTACATGCTTATTTGAGCCCAGAAGACAAAATATTATGCCAGGCTCTCTAAACAGGAAGAAGCAACTATAGTGTAGCTGTAGTTAAGTTTCAACTCACAGGCCATTGGAAGAAAACCAGAATAAATCACATAAAAATCTGCAAACCTCAATTGCCACTTAACCCACCACTTACAAAAATGTGGGCTCTGTGAGTATTGAAGCCGCAGATTAGAAAAAGCCAGCTAGTATTCTGGACAGGCCTCCAGTGGGTTTATAAACCACAGGCTTTTAGAATCACACAAAGCATATGCTACCGTCTGTGCTTGCTGCCCAAGGAGCCAGCGTTCTCCTCTGCCAGGCTGGCCCTGTGCTATTCAGGGCAGGACTGTGGTGAGTCGGGGCCTTCAGGGTGGCGGGCAGGGCTGGGCAGGACCAAGCCCAACAGGCAAAGTTACAAGATGAGGAATGAGGGAAAAATGAAATTCAGCCCCCAGTAAAGTGCTTTTCCAGAAAGTGGGGAAGTGATGAAAAATTTTGCAGAGACAATGGATATGGTGGCCCCAGAGGATTGACCATCACGTGGCCCTCCACACAGGACAGGAAAGAGGCAACAGGCACCTGAGAACTGTGGCAGTGGACAGGTCAGGCAGCTCCTGCCCAGGCCTCAGTTCCTCTGTGGATGTGTATTATTCTCCTTCGTGGTCTTTACGGACCCTCAGGGGACATCTGGAGAATTGTAAGGAGCTGCACAACTGGCAAAAGAAGTTCTAGGTGGGGAGGGTGGAGGTGGAAAGAGCGACGCACTGTCTGTCTAGCGCACACATGGAATGTTATTCAGTCTTTGAAAGGGAGATGCTGTGATCTACAGCATACGTTAACACTTGAGGGCATTGTGCTCTGTGACATAAGCCAGTCACAAAGACTGTATGATTCTGCTCACCCCAGGAATCCAAAATAACCAAAATGCACAGAAGCAGGTAGTGAGACGCTGACTGTCAGCAGTAGGGACAGCGGAAGCATGGAGGAGCTGTTCCTCACAGGGAATCCAGTTACACAGCTGTGCTAGATGAGCAAGTTCTAGACACCAGCAGTGCAGTGTCTGGCCTAGGCTGGCCAGTAGACTGCCCAGCAACTGTTTATCTTACCACCTACAGAGTACTTCATGCAAATTCAGAAGAACACACAAAGCCAGGCCAAAAAAAAAAAAAATCTTCTCGTACCATGGAACATGCATTCAGCCCTAGGAAAAATCTGAACAATCTGAAATCATTGCCCCACAGCCTGGCACCACAAGCTGTTTTTTTGTGGGTTTTTTTGTTTTGTTTTGTTGTTTTGTGTGTGTGTTCAAATTTTTGCTGATTTGAATCCCACAAAGTGGACAGCAATACGCATGGTATCCAACCTTTCGTGGGTGAGTAACACAGGAAGCTAGTACCTGCACGCCCATGCCTGTTGTTAGTAAACACACTTGAGGTCAACTCCCCATCATGCTTTCCCCAAGCCTGCTCCTCAGGACACAAGGACTAAAATATGTACCACCCGCCCCGACGTGGTAATCAGGTCCTCTGGGCCTCGCTGATACTTCCGGCCTTCTCTGCTTGGAGCCTTCTCCTGGTGTGCTGTTGGGCCCGAGGGCCGTAACTTATATTCTTTAAGGTCTCCAGTTGCCTACATTTCTAGCTGATGCATTTTTTCATGATAACCTAAAATAAGTTAACATGACCGTATCCTGCATCATCTGGAACAGACCCTTGCAGGCAGATCTTGATCTGGACATGATTTTACTACACGCATTCACAAAGTGCACTGGTGTCAGGTGGCACTTCACAATCTCCAGCTCAAACACTGCAACGATGCAGCCAGTGATAAACGAACAGACAGTTCACGTAAGTTCAAATGGAGAGGAATGGCCGAAGAATGAAGTCATCGCCTGGCACCCACAGGCCTGAAACACTCCAAAGACTTCCAGCTGCGACACAGTACCATATTCAGACTGTACGCACCAAGATCTAGTTTCAGCAAATGAATGCCATGCCTTCCATTAAATTAATACTATTAGCTCGCATTTCATTGTTTTCAGAGTTTTGTTCATGCTTAATGTGTGTGTGTGCTGCTTTTATAGTTGTGTAAAAGCAAAGAATACGAGCCTTAAAAAGCATTAAAATGTTTGTAAGTTTCCAATAACATTACAAGAAAAATAATAACACTGAATACAAGACATCCAGGAAATGTTCTGTTTCTCTGCAAGTAGCCCTTTTAACAATGCAAAAACTTTTAAAAATTGGCCAGAGTACATTTTCTTTGCAAAGATATGAGCTGTCTTGTTAACTTTCAGTTATTTTTATGTATTTGAAAGAGAGAAAGAGAAAGAGCCAAATAGACAAATAACTTTCATCTGCAAGTTAACTTCCCAAACACCAACAGCAATCAGGGCTGGGCCAGGCTGAAATCAGGAACAGAAATCTCAACGCAGGGGTCCCGCACGCGTGGCAGACCACCAATCAGCACCTATGGCTGCGTCCCAGAGTGCCTGCGAGCAGGAAGCTGGGATCCGAAGCAGAGCCGCCAGGACTTGCATCAGGTACTCCGTTATGGAAGACAGTCACCTCAAGCAGCAGACTCACTGTGCCAAACATTTACCCTATTCATTGTTTTAAGTCAAAACTGCATAAGATACTAAGTTTACATGTCAACACTATAAAAGAGAGAAGCAGTATTTTAAAGGAGGAACTTTGTAGAAAGTGAAACAAACTGAATCATTGTTTGTCTAAACCGATTGATCAGTTAGCTTCATTTAGTGATGGGCACGGCAGCTTCACTCTGCGTCAATCAACACAGATCTCTGACCAAAGCTGTATTTCCTTATCACTAGGTTAGACCTGGAGACAAATTCTAGCATCTACCACATGGTACACTTTCAGAGTCAAAAACCACCAACTCATTCTTTCACAGGTCAACATGTGACTTCCTTTGAGTTCTGACTTTCATCACCCAAAATATACTTCTGATACTTTCCAACTTGGTAGATGAGGCTAGCATTACTGAAATGTCAGAATCCAACAAAGACAAAGGAAACAACACACTAACATTCCTTATGAGTAAAGATAGAAAAACATTCCCCAAATTTTAGGGAACTGTGTTTAACAGTGTTGAGAGAATGAAACATGACAGATGAAAATTCATCCAAGAAATAGGACACTGGCCAATAAAGAATCACATTAATGGAACATAGGAGGAAAGGCATATGATTATCTTAATAGATGAAGAAAGTATATTTAACATATTTAAATATTCACTCATGATTTTTTAGTGCCCAGCAAATTAAGAATATTGGATGAGTGTTTGAGCTAATAGTTACAAACAGCATTAGGGTGCCCAGATCTCCTATCACAGTTCCGGTTTGATATCCACCTCCAGTCTTGGTTCCAAGGCTCCAACGTCCTGCTAATGAAGAGCGTGAGAGTCAGTGGTGATTGCTCAAGAGACCACGTCCTTGAGTTCCTGACTCCCAGCTTCAGTTCAGCTTCGGTCCTTCAGGGCAACGAAAGAGTGAAACAGCATGCTCTCTGTTCTTTCCCAAGTAATTTTTTAAAGCTTTATTTATTTTATTTGAAAGAGTTATAGAGAAGCTTCGAGGAGAGAGATCTTCCATCCACTGAGTAACTCCCCACTGTGGCTGCAATGACCAGAGTCTGGCTGGCACACAATTGAGAGACAGGAGCTTCTTCTGGGTCCCTCAGGTAGGTGTAGGGGCCCAAGGCCTTGGGTTCTCTTTTTCTATTTTTCCTGGCCATTAGCAGGGAGCTGGATGGAAACTGGTGTAGCTGGTACTCAAAACAGCACCCATTTGGGATGCCAGAGCCATAGGTGGAGAATTATCTAGCTATAATACTGCTGTAGTCCCTCACATAATTTTTAAAAATGTTTTAATTTAGAATACCTTCGAATAAATAACAGCTTTGAAAAGCATACAGCTTAATTATGTTTCATAATAAAATACTGTTTTTCTCTAAGACCTGAATGATGCCTATTTCTAATACATAAAATCAATAGGGTATAGGAGATCCCAGACATCATATTAAAAGCAAATGAGAGAAACAAAACATATAGATACATAGGGAAAGAAAGAAATTTCTATGTGAAGATGACCTGGAAAACCCTACAAAATCTGCAAAACAACTGCTAGAATGAATACATTACTTTAAAAGAGTCAAAGCATATAAGGCTAATATCCAAAATTCAAATTCTTGAGTTTGTAATATTATTGTTTTACTTTTAATCGACAAATAACAACTGAACATATAAATGGGGTACAGTGTGATGATTTGGCATACATTTGACAAGTGCAATGGTTAAGCCAAGTTAACAAACACATCACTTAGACATATTACTTCAAACAACAGAGAAAGCTTTTCTTGAAAACTCATGGGATGTGCTCTCCAAATCCCTACAATCACCAACGCCCAAAGCCAGGAGCTGGACCTCAATCCAGGTCCCCTAGACAGGTGGCAGGAACCCACTATATTACTGCAT